TAGCCACGTAAATTTTGATTATATTAAGAAAACTAGTAAGAATCAAAGCGTGAAAGGGTTACCAGAAATTGAAAAAAACCAATAGAGAGGGTGTCAAATCGTGTATTATTGCTAAATCTAGTAGAATAACTTTTAAAATCTGTTCCGAAGAGATCGGATAAACCATTGCAGTTGGTTTATTTAGACGTTTGTGGCCCCACTACCAGTTCCATCTAAGGATGGGAGTAAATATTTTCTTGCTATTGTAGATGACTATAGTAGATTAGTAACAGTGTATTGTATGAAAAATAAAAACGAATCGTTCTACAACTTTATAAAAATTATCATAGGCAAATGGAAAGACTGACGAATAGAAAATTAATAAGTATACGCACCGATAATGGGGGAATTCTGTAACAGGCAATTCGAAGGGTACTTAGCCGAAAATGGAATTAGTGTTGAACGCACGAACGCGTACACCCCAGAAGAGAACGGTGTGTGTGAACATTTTAACCGAACGGCATTAGACGCAGTTAAAGCTATGCTTAATGATGGTAAAATGGGAAAAGAATGGTGAGCAGAAGCTCTTGGCTGTTTCGTACATACGTGGAACAGAGTATGTCATAAAAGCAACCGAACCCCTTATAAAATGTTCCTAAATAGAAAACCCAGTGTTGTTTATTTTAAAGTATTTGGTTGTAAAGCCTATGTTGGCGTGCCAAAACAGATTAGGAATAAATTAGAAATGAGGTGCAAAGAAGGAATCATGGTAGGATATGCGAAGGAAACTAGGGGTTATAGGATATGGCTGCCAGAAGAGAACGCAAATTAATAGAAACCTGTAATGTGAAGTTCGATGAAAAACTGTATGCAGCAAATGGCATCCTGGAACAGAAATCAAAACCCTAAATTTAAAAGACTAGAGGAATCTGAGCTATTAGCAGAATCAGATGAAGAACAGGAAATTTCTAGAGAAGAAATAAAGTTATCATATGACAAATCTACTCCGAAAGAAGTATCAGACTTAAACTGGCAAAGAAAAGCAGTTAAATGGCCTGATGGAACACGTACAGACATATATTATTATGTAGAAAGAACAGACACCCGTTTTAGATCTTATAATGATATTGAAAAGTATTGTGAGGCAAGAAATATTAAATTTGAAAAAGATAAGTTCGATTTTAGTGGAAAAAACAAATACTCAGGGAAAGTTAATTTCATAGAGCAGGAGACTAGCTCTGTGTTTGAAGAGGCAAATTCCGTAGAAATAGTTATCCCACAAAATTTTAAAGAAGCAGGAAAATCAATAAATGCCGAAGAATGGGATAAGGCAGTAAAAGAAGAAATCGACACAATGAAGAAAAGAAAGGTTTGGGAATTAGTCGAAAAGCCAGAAAATAAAACTATAATAGGAAACAAATGGGTCTCTATATGCTAAAAAGAAATGAAAAGAATCAAGTGGTTAGATACAAAGCACGTTTAGTAGCACAGGGATTCAGGCAGAAAAGAGGTGAAGATTTTGATGACGTTTACAGTCCTGTAGTAAATTTTTTAATCATAAGAATATTTTTCACTATCCTGGTATGTTTATATGGATGGACTAATTGTCAGTTAGATGTAAAGAGCGCATGTTTATATCCAAACCTAAATGAGAAAATATATATGACCCAACCAAAGGGATTTATCGAAGAGAAAAATAAAGTGTGTTTATTACACAAGGCCATTTACGGTCTACATCAAATTGGCCGTGAATGGTTTTGTGAATTTGAAAGTACTTTAGAAAATCTAAATTTTAAGAAAATACAATGGTGTAATTGTGTTTATAAGGGTTCAAATGTAATTCTCTTGTTATATGTAGATGATATTGTGATTTTTAGTAAAGATCAATATAGTATAGATAAAGTAATTTCACATCTGTGTAAGTTTTTTTGATCTTAAAGTATTAGGCAAAACTAAAACGTTACTTGGAATTGAATTCTTAGAGAATGAGAATGGGGGTTTTTTATACATCAGCAAAAATATATCGAAGAAATTTTTGAAAATTTAAACATTTCCAGATACCAATAACTTCACTTCCCATAGCTAAGGGCACTGTTCTTACAAAATTAGATTGTCCATCTACAAATGCAGAAATTGCGGAAATTAATACATTACCCTTTAGAAATCTGTTAGGATGTTTAGTTTTTGTAGCTAACAGGACAAGGCCTAATATTACATACAATTTCAGTGAATATCTTATCACAATTTCAGGAGAATCCTGGAATTAGGCATTGGGAAGCATTGTTGAAATTGCTTGGTTATCTCAATAGTACTAAATTATATAAATTAAACTTATCGAAGATTAAACATCTAAATTTATATTGGTTATTCAGATGCTGATTATGCAAGTAATAGGAGATGACCCGCGTGTCCATGGGAGGAATTTATATTATATTTAGATGAAGCACACCCGGTTAATCTGGAAAAACTGTTAAACGAAAAATGTGTAAGTTTATTCAACCATGGAAGCGGAGTATATTGCCTTATCTGAAGCAGCGAAGGAATTAATGTGGACGAAAAATGTCTTACAAGATGAAATTTTAGTGGTTTTAAGTTTAAAAGTTTAATTTAAGAGAATGTAAACTATTTTGTGATAACAAGTCTGCCATTGATTTTTCTAGATCGCCAATAGAAAATCGCCGAACTAAGCAAGTAGACGTAAAATATCACTTTGTTAGAAGACTAGTAAATGATTGGAGTGTTTGACCTTGAATTTATCACCAGTAAATTAAATACTGTGCCGACTTATTTACAAAAGCAGCGACTGCTGTTAATTTACGGAAGTTTTGTTTAGATGTTTTCAGTGTTTAAAGACAATAAATGTTTCGTATAATGAATTGAACTATGAACTTCTTCTGTGCAAGTTTTGTTTTTGTCTTTGCATGAGGAAAAGAGGGCTGTTTGGTGGCTTTAGTTTTCCACATGCAAATTTTGATCGGAGGACAATCGGCGGTAAGCTAACGTGGTTGCCGCTGATTGGCGGATGACGTCAAGATCGGCGGGTTGGCCGAGTATAATATATATGTACGCCGGTATCGGCGAATGTTCTTGTTCTCTTGTGTAATTATCAGTTAGCATTATGCTAGTTTGCTTTCAATCAAATGTAAAGGCTACAGTGTTAGATCTTTTATTTTATTTACGGAATAAAGCATGAATTTTATTTAGTTTAGTCTTGGCTTTGTTTAAGGGAAGCAAAATATGCTTTGCCTTTATCTCTACTGCCAACATCTGTCACCTTCTTCATCCATTTTTTGCCGCAATTCCACTTTTTGTTTGATGGACATCAAAACATACTTTCGTTTTGTAGATCCTTTGGGAGCTCCAGCATCGGAAATTCTATTTGACGTAATCGAAAGTTCAAGTTTAATTTTATAAAATTGCTCTTACAGTCTGCGAAAAATAATAAGCTGGATCCAATTTGAAGATTAAGGAACAACGCAATCATCAACATTAACTGAAATAGATAATTAGAGCTATACCGTATAATTAGAGCTTATACATAAAACGCGCACGCGAAAACGTATTCTGCGCTTGCGCAGTCGTAATAAAGGTCTTATGCGCACGCGTAAACGCCTATGCGCATGTGTCAATGCGGCGCATGCGTAGAAGATTTTAGCTTTGAGGTCCGGATTATGGGTGTCCGAATTAACGACTTTTGACTGTACTTGAAACCTAGCTTATTAATTTTATTTATATACTTTTGGTGTAGCCGATTACAACCAAAAAGGTAGATGCACAAGTACATGTTATAGCAGTCCTATATACAAAATTTCAACGTTCTGAGGCTATACATTTTTGAGTTATGCAAGATACATACATATGTACGTATGTAGAGATGGCAGTAAAAAATCTCTTTTGAATCTCATTTAAATCAGTTTTATAATTCGTTTTGGAAAAAGTCCTTTCTTTTGTTCTTACTAGATGTCGCACAAAAACATTGTTAAATTGCATTCGATAGTAGTCAAAATTAATAGTATTCAAAATTTAATGTTCTTACATATAGATGTCACACAAAAACATTGTTAACTTGCATTCGATAGTGGTTTTGTGCTGATTTTTCATTAGTATTTTTTCTATTGTTTTATTTAAATATGCTAAAAGTCTCTTTTTAAAATTCTACTAAAAAATTTTAATTAATTTGTGTTATATATGCTAATATTAATAGTTTTTTTTAATCAAAAGTCTGTTGATTTCTTTAATTTTCCCCCCTTTTTTCCAAAATTTAGCAAGTATTATAATATTACTAAAGTGATTTTATGGCAATTAAATATTATTTAATAGGATAGAACTGGGCCCCCATTCCCATTTTGTGAACAACTTCCATTCCAGAATTTATCTATAATACTTTTTTAAACAATAAAGTTATCATTCATGACATAATTTTATCACAATTAATGGTGGAGAAAATCCAATGCTTAAATTAAAAGTTCATACACTGCATTGAAAAATTAACGAGTTTCATTTCTGATTTTGTTTATTACTTAGATGGAATGTATTGTAGGTATTAAAGTTCTTTTGGTAATGTTTAAGTTATTGAGGAATACAGCTCCTATTATAGTCTTATTACTATCATAATAGTAATGCTTTGGGGATTGAATATATATATATATTTAACAAGTAAGGTAGTTAGTACAATACTGTAAGACCAATTTGGTCTAAATAATTTTTTTGTGCAATCTGCTGCAAAATTAAGGATATGAGAAATTGTAAAAAGCTCGCCAAAAAGTTACCAGGAGCTGTGACTCCAAGAAAAGTTCAACACATTTTTTAAAAAAACAATGTAATTGAAGGGTGAAAAATTATGCTTTATATATAATATGTAAGTCATATGTAATTGTCAAATTTCTGTGTTTTCAAGTGGTAGCGTAATTAATTTACATTTATTGCAGCTTATGTGGATAAACTGAAATTTTTTTAAATGAAAACTTAGGGAATTTCATTCTCCTGTTTAAGTGGCAATCCTGTTATTATTTAAAAAAATATAAAAATGAGTTAGTTCAATTCCTTATCAAACTATAAAGTTTATTAATAATTTTTTCAACCTTATTTTTAGGAACTCTGAAAGATAACTTAGTAGGAGAGTCATTAATAGCCGATTATTTATTATATTGGTTGAACAAACATCAAAATTTCAGGTAAAAGTTTGTAGTATTCTTAAACTAAGTATGCATTTATGTTACTGTACTGTGAAAATATAACATGCTTTTTATTATAGGTATGTTGAATATCTGCAATTAAAAGAACCAGTTGATAATATATCTTTGCTGCTTGTTGAGATAGCAATGAAAATGAATAAAGTACTTAATATACGAAATGCTGAAGGTAAATATTAATTATTTATAATAGCGTAACTTGAGAGTCAGTTTCATTCAATGATGGGGAAGAAAATTAACTGAGTTCTTACAAGAATGTTTAACAATTTATTATCATAAATGTATATAAAATAAATACAAAAAATTATGTAGTATTTCTTGTTCTGTATAACTTCTTACTTATTTCATCAGAAAGTTTATTATTTTACGATCTTTAAGTAAATAAAGACTGAATTCCAAAAAGATCAAAATAAAATGATCCTTTCCTATTTAGTATTATGAGTTAAGTTTAAAGACAGATTTCTTCAAGAATTCTGCATCTCCTTCAGATGCTGTTTTTCATCATAATTTGATTTATTATCATAAAAGCAGTAAGTATAAAAAGTGGTTCCATTTGTTGTTCCATTTTTATTTAATTTGTACACACTGGTAATTATAATATCTGCTCTAAAATTTTGATAAATTTCATTGGCATTGCAGTAGAGTAACCAAGATTGACATGTGGAATGATGTGCAGAATCACTGGAGACTGAACAGTTTCAGTTTGCCTGGTGCTGTTTGCAATTTGTGGAAACAGCTTCAAGTTATTGAATCACTAGAACTACAGTGCTGAATGAAGTTTGATATTTAACAATTTAAGCGAGGTGCCAAAGGATTGCTGCAGCTAAATAGTTCTCTGCTGCAACTGGAATTTTAATTTCAAAGGTTACTTTTTTAAGGTTTTATGAGATATGGATTTTATCAGAAGACTCGTTGTTTGTGATCTACTCATTCTTTCACTCGAGAGAATACAGAAAACCTTGGTCTTAAAGTAAGGTGACCAAATTTTAACATTGGTAAAGTGGGACACCATTGACCGGAGGGGGGGGGGTAGATTCTTGATTAAAAATTTGGTCTGTATGGAGCTACACAAATTTTCCTAGAATGCAAAAATAGTATTGTAATATATATGTTTAATTTCCACATAAGTACAATTTACAAATATAATACATTAAAAATTACATATAGTATTATTTTATTCTTTGGCATATTTCTCATTTGAGTGAATTCTTTTTAGTAGATTGCTCTCATTTTTTTGTTGAATAACTTTTGGACAACTTGTGATGTACAATATCTGAAGGAATGATTGTGATTATTAGCATGAAAAGACATAAGTCCTTCTGCTAATGCTAATTTCTTTTCTTCGTCTCCATAAATTGTTTTCCAAAAGAATTACTGCATTTTGGAGGAAGATGCAGTAGTATTTAAATATATTTTATGTTTCTGTGTCTTCGAGTGCTTTGAAATATCATTCTTCCAGCTGGGCAAAGTAGAAAATTCACCATTTTATTTCTCACATTTTACTATGGGATCGCTTTTGTTTTTTTTTAACAAAAGTAAATTCACTTCTTAGATCATCTTTGAATTTGCATCTTCTGTTCTTACTCATTATGTTAAAAATCTAAGGAAGTAATTTATTATAAATTTATAAATTATATATAATAAACTTTTATCTATATATATTGCTTTAAAAACACAGTAAGTAGGTACATAATTACATGAACATATTAGTAAGTTATTGTTAGTTTAAAAATTAAATTAATTTGTTTGTTATTAAAGTAACTATATTTTAAAAAATATTTAAATTTTAATCCTATAATTCTTTCTATATAATAACAATATTAACTTGTTTCCTCTGAATTTGCCGTAACGTAAGTCATAAGCGTCACTTCCAAGACCGACGCTGGACCTATTGCCGCCACTATAAAATATAATTAATCAGAGTACTGTCTGCTAAATTCAAGAAAATTTATGTGTTTGTGAAATAAATAAATAAATTACATATCTAAATTATCTGAATAGCTGATTTGTTGACATCACTTGTTTAACTAGCACTAGCATGCAGTATGATGTGTATCGTCTGAGAGACAATTACAAAGTGTTTTCGTCAATGCCAATGCCAAAAAATGCTATTAAGTCCAAACAACAGTGGTTGAATTCTAACAACTGATCAATAATGCGAACTTTGATAATCAGTTCTCGATAATCAGTTGTAACAGTTATTTGTTATTATTAAAATTTAACATTATAAAATTAACAAAATATAAGACATATCCTGGGCGAAGTAGCCACATGGCCGCCGAAAACCGTATTCTTCCGCCGTTTCCTAGCTTAATCGTGCATTCTTTCAAAAAATCTGGTCACCTTATCTCAAAGGCAAGTTCTCTTCCTCTTCCATGATGAATATAAAGTTTGCTGAGACTTTTTTTGGGGGAAGGGATTAACATTACCTAGAGAGAGCCAGAAACCCAATACCATTTCTTCAACATTTGAGAAAGAAACTATTGTGGTGGCAGAGGTGTCATAGTCTGAATAGACATCATTTTTAATGTTGGACCATTGTTCTATGGATGTGACAGAGATTCTCTTAATTGCTCAGAAGCATAGACGGCAGATCTTAGATTCCGTTTGTGTGACTTATTAGAGCCCTATTTGACAATAAATTCCTTTGTTTTGGGATAACAGCATTGTCCATGTAGAGCTGAAGGCAATGCGCAGATCTGTCTTAACTAGAAAAGCATAGGTCTAGAATACACAGTATCAACAATTTTCACACAGCTTTCACCTTAAGTTCTTCAATTTGTGCTTAACATATTTATTACTTTATAATGTCTAATTTCTTAAATATATTTAGGAAAAGAGACAATTTCTCCAATATTTAAGTAGTGACATCATTTTGGTTCAATATCAATTAGAACCACACTATTTATGACAATAATAAAGCAGAATTTCTTTTGTGCCTGAACATTAAATTTAATTTCATTGAAATTTAATATAATTTTGTGAAATTCATATTTTAAAGAATATTTTTTGTGTATTTGAGGAAAGGCTATTCAAATGAATGCTTTATACTTACCTATCCAGTTGCTCCTTGTTGTTGTTTAAAAAAGATACTATATACAGTAAGACCCCGCTTAACGCGGGGGATGCATTCCATCAAAGTAGAGCGTAATGCGAAACAGCGCTAAGCGAGGCTATCTTTGCATGTAAATATTGGGGTTAGGGGAAGATGGCTAGGAAATTGGTTAGGTATTAAATTTAACAAGTATGTTTTTTTTAATAAAAATAAAACCAAACATTTATTTCTTAAAGCCCAAATTAATACCACATTATTATTTCTTGCAAAAATAAAAACAAAATATAAATAACAAAACGAATATTCTTAAAAAAAAAAACAAAATTCTAAGTCAGTCATATTTTAGTTAGCCTTCCGCGTTTTCAGTGTTCTGCTGCTGCCTTTTTGTGACAAAAGCATCTAATGTTGTTTGCCTTTTTCTTTCTTTGCATTGTTCTCTTAAAAGTTCTTCATAAACGGATAGAGCAGCATCTCTAACACCACGCCTTACTTTTGAGCTCCTGTCAAAATTCGGATCATTTTCAATGAATTGATCCATTATTTCAGTTATGGTAGACAAACTCCTTTTTACAAACGCCATCGAAAGTTCTTTTTGCTCTTCTTCTGAATCACTGCTGTCAACATTTTTGTTTTCTTCTTATTCAGTTAATTCCTTGAGCTCATCATTAAAAAGACTAGCCGCTGCTTCTTGAATTATTTCTTCGACATCTTCCACATTTACCCCTTCAAAATATGTCTGTACAATACCGCACCAAACAAGAAATACAAGTACAGTAAGACCCCGGTTAACGTTGTTTCGGTTTAGCGCTCTTTTATTTCAACCCAAGGATTCTCCGAAATTGTGCACAGCGCTAGGTTTCCAAATAACATATCCGAAACAGTGTAGTTGTGTTTCTTGCTTTGTGGATGCAATTTTATCATTTGAAACATTTGTTGACATTATTGTAAGTTTAAATTTGTATAATACTATAACAATTAATACAGTGACAAATATTATGATCTTTCAAGAAAATTTATGTGTTAGTTTTTATCATGGGTGATAATAAAAAACAAGAAAAGAAAGCAACCAGAAAAAGCATTTCACTGGAAACTCAAATGCAAGTGATTAGAAGATTAGATTCTGGTGAACGTCAATCTCAAATTAGTGCTGTATTGATTTTGGCAACTTCAACAATAAGAAAAAATACTGTCATCGGCAACTGCAACTACGTCAAGCTCTGCAACTAGAATTACCCGTTCTAGAAATAACATTATAGAGGAAATGGAAAAACGACTGTCTGTATGGATTGACGGCGAAATTGAACGCAATATGCCATTAAGCCAATCTATCATAATGCCTTCTTGACAAAAAGGCAGAAAATTGGAAATCCAGAATAGACTGAATGATCTGACTGAGAATTTTATTTGTTTTTAAAAGTATATGCGTTTATATTGTTTTTATTTTTGTAAGAAATAAATGTTTGATTTTATTTTTATTAAAAAAACATTATCAAATTTAATGCCTAACCATTTTTTATCCGTCTTACCCTAACCCCATTATTTACATGTTAAGATAGCCTTGCTTAGCGCTGTTTCGCATTACGCTCTACTTCGATGGAACGTCGTAACCCCATTATTTACATGTTAAGATAGCCTCGCTTAGCGCTGTTTCGCATTACGCTCTACTTCGATGGAACGTATCCCCCGCGTTAAACGGGGTCTTACTGTACACTCTTTCGGATATGTATTTGAAACCTCGCTGCATAATATTTCGGGAAATCCCCGGGTTGAAATAAAAGAGTGCTAAACCGAAACAGCGTTAAGCGGGGTCTTACTGTATGTATCTATATATATGTGCCTTTTACTATATATGTACCTTTTTAAAGGTTTTATTGGCAAAAGTTAATATTAATTTCTAATCTTTTTAAAAGAGCTTTATAATGCTAATTTCTTTTTTACTTCCAGGATCAATAGTTCAAGTCCCAGATATTCAAGCATGTTCCAATTATTTTATAAAAGCATTTCGTAATGGACATTTTGGAAAAATATTATTAGATTTTGACTATTTGAATAAATCTGTATGATTCTTGCATTGAGCTGTTCTTTTTTTAGGTGTCTAGTCATAAAAAAGTCTAAAATTAACTTACATTAAGGTTCATGAGAAGATGTTTAGTTCTTACAGTTTATGCATGCTGTGTTCATTATGTTAATCTGTTATGAAGCAAGTAGTATATATTCAGAAATATTCCAAAAATTATCAAATGTGTGATATTAGGAATATACAGATGCTGTGAAAGCCATGATTATACAGAAGTACAAGGTAGAACAGTCTGATTAATCCCTTGGAATCATTCAAAAGAAATCTGCTATATTACTTATACAATATTTGAAAATTATGAAGATAATATCGATAACAAAGTGGTCAAAGTTGTAAATAATATTGTTGTTAAACATGCAAAACACTTGCAACTATTAAAACCTATTGTTGCTCTGGAATGATCCCAAATTTTATTTTACAATAAAAAATTTTTATGTTTACCAAATTATTTATACCATACTAGTAATTGGACATTTTTTATGAAATTTGTTGCTAATTCTGCCATATGTTAGTTTTCAATAAACATTTTCTTCAGTAAGAAATAAGATATGGAAATAAAAAATAACTCAAACTTTCATAAAACCTTCTTTATTCAAAGGAATTTTCAATCTACATTCCATGCAAGCTGAAAAATTTTACGATATGTAAAAATATCACTACGTGAATCAAACTTCATTTATTTTTCTGGTGTCTGATTCAGATAATTATGTTAGCAATTGAGCAAGACAGCCTGCTTTGCATTCATTTCTGAGAACAGCAGAATTCATTATGGAAAATTTACAGATTTATTGCTGTAATCCTAAACAATAATTCTATAAAGCAACTAATTGATTAAGCATACTGTTGATTTATTATTTGTTTTGCATTTATTACTTATATCCTTAAAAACTACATGTGCATTGCTAAAGGCACACACTAGTACTCATTATCATTAATCAAACTGATTTATGTCTAAGACATACCTATTTTAATATTTTTGGGCTCAGCAAAATGCAAATATATGTTAATATGCCACTATCTAGTTCATTTCATACTGAATTATAACTACATTGCTGTAGAAGGGAATAAATTTTAAATATGAGCTGCAGTAGAAAGCATCATATCTTGCTACTATTTCAATTGACCAGCAATTGCTCTTGCAAGTTCCTGTAAAAACTGATAGTATCAAAAATATTAAAATTTTAATATAACTTTTAAACAAAAATAATTTATACATTTGATAAGCACATAAGCATTTTAATATAATGAAATTGATATACGTTAATAACATATCTTCATGTAAAAATGAGATATAAAAGGTTGTATACATTAATGGCTGGTCTTGCACCCAAATTACATAAAAATATGATCCAAGCAATAGAAAGCCAATATATAGATGCTAATTAAAAATGTTAAAATCTTAACATTAATATTTTCAGAATTATCCACAGCTCCTGAACAGAAATTTGTTGTTTTATACAAAATAACAAATTTTATACAAAATAACACAAATTTTTAAAGAAACTGCATTTATATTTTGAGGTTGTTGGATATACAGAGGTGCCAGTTCATTTGAATTAAGAAGGAGACTGCAATTTTCAGCCTTTTCTCCCAACTTTTTTCTCTAGCAAAAAATTTTCATTACCCCAAAATATGATTTCTGGCATCTGCAATTGTTTACCCTCCCAGATTAACTATACGAGAAAAGCAAGGCTGTGTCATCACTTCACGCTTATGTTTCATCACATTTTATATGCTTCAAGAAATAGTAAAGAATTTACAATCTTAAAATCATAGGTGCAAAGGGGTGATACTTAAATACTTTCCAAAAATCATATACTGATAACTTTCGTTGAATTATTTTGCCAAGGAAATATAGTACATTTATGACAGGAACCTTTAGTCATGTGATTTTTCAATGTTATATGGTAGAAGGGCTGGTACAGTCAAAAGTCGTTAATTCGGACACCCATAATTCGGAATGATCTATAATCCGGACATCAAAACTAAAAACTTTCTGCACATGCGCAGAGGCGTTCACGCGTGCGCGTAAGACCTTTTACGACTGCGCATATGAGTGTGCGCAAGTGCAGAATACATTTTCGCGTGCGCATTTTATGTATAATGGACGTATAAGCTAAATAAAATTATCTAATTATCTATTTCAGTTAATGTTGACGATTGCGTTGTTCCTTAATTTTCGAATTGCATCCGGCTTATTATTTTTTTGCAGACTGTAAGAGCAATTTTATAAAAGTAAGCTTAAAACTTTCGATTATATCAAATAGAATTTCCGATATATATTTTGTTAATATATGTAAAAGGATCTAAAGCGAAAGTATGTTTTGAAAAAATCCGAAATCTGTTTTATCAATTTCACGCTGCTCCGCGGCGGGCGCCTAATGAATTGGAAGTTGATTTGTCAGCACTATCCTTATCTTCAGCGCAGATGTTTTTTATTTTATTTGGCTTATAATTCCTTACCAAATGTAGTATTTCATCTCGATATGCTCCGTCTTTGATATGATTTAAAACAAGTTCCTCGTCATTATAATTCGCTTCCGATAGCGAAGAAAAGTGACAGAGGTTATTGAAAACAAAAAAAAATTTCGACTGACAAATTAGTCGGTGTTCTTGACACAGCAATTATAGGACTTGAACGGCGGAACTTTGTAACTGAACAAGAAATTATGTCTGTTTAATAGAATTAAAGAGAAAGTATTATCACATGAAACGAAGCAAAACTTATAAACAACTTACATTGAAAGAAATGTTTAATAAAGTAAACAAATAAATATTAAGCTTTTTCTTTTTGCAAATTTTGATACCCTTTAGATCATAATTGTTCTCTATTTCATAAATTACGGTTTCATATTTTTTATTTTAGAATTTCTGCATGCTATCTTACGAGATTTAAACTGATGATCTATAATCCGGAATCGCCGAAGTCCCGACGAGTCCGGATTAACGACTTTTGACTGTATTTTAAAGCACATGGCACAGAAAAAGAAATAAAAAAGGAGGAAAAGTTTTTATTAGTCAAAAAAAAAAAAAAAAAAAAAAAAAAAGAAGAGTACTATATCAGCAGTTCTCAATCTTTTGACTAACAATTACCATTTAAACAAAGTTTGAAAAACTTGTATCACCACTATATTTTACAATGATTATTTTTCAATTCCTCAATAGAAATATTAAAAAAAACATATGCTGCTATTTGTATTAAATATGCACACATACAAAATATCAAATTAAAAATTGGTTATTTTAATTATCAAAATTTTAGTGTGAAATTTGGGACTGTTTACGAGAGATCAATTTCTTTATATCTGATCTTATTTCACTTAGTTCTAACCGTAAATTAAGATCCACTTTTAATTTTGTTCTGTATTTATTTTTCAAATATAACATGGAAGAAAACCCTTGCTCACACAAATAGGTTGTGCAAAAAGGCAATAAAAGTTTAATGGCCTTTTTTAAAATGCCTTTAAATTCTTTCTTCTTTTTTTTGGTTCAGTGGAAAATTAACAAGCAGCCAAAAGTGTGGTTATTTGAAATCTTTAGTTAGAATATGAGCAAAGGAAATTTCTGTCAATTGTTCTTTTTCTTCACAACATAACATTTCAGGTACATTTGAGCAAAATGGACTTCTAATCCAATTCTCTTTTTCATCATCCTTGGGAAAATACATATTAAAATTATTTATGAATGAAAAACAACGATTTTCAGTGTCAGATACTAATAATTCTTTTATTTTCAAAATATTTTGAGTTAGAAAATGTTCTAAAAGTGGTCAAAAGCTTAAAATATTATCCAATTCTTTGATTATTAGAGATTTTTTTATAATTGTGCTTATTTTATCTGTAATGGTAAACAAAACTAACACTTTTTCCTTGTAATCCTAAATTTAATCTTCCAACAATATCAGCTAGATATGCTAAACGTGCCAAGCATATTTCACTAAATAAATATTTTTGCAATTCAAATTTATGATCACAGAGGAAAATTTGAATTTCTGATGAAAAAGACGATTTGAAACTTTGCCTCTTGATAACCACCTTACTTCAGAATATAACAACAAAAACGTTTCATGTGTCACTGTCCATTGCTTGGCATAAAATTGCAAATATTCTTGAATTTAAAGCTTGGCTTTTAATAAAATTAAGAATTTTCACAGCTTGATTCAAAATGATTATCAGATTTTTGGAGATTGTTTTGGCTACTAAAGCTACACAATGAATAAAGTTGTGAGTAACTTTAGTTTCAGGTGAGACTTTATTTGAGGAATAACACTGGAATATTTTCCTGTTAAAGCCCAAGCTGCATCCCTGCATACAGCAATGCACTTATTTCAAGGAATATCATTCTCAGACTTAAACTGTCAATTACTTTCAATTACTTGTCAATTTCATTTGCAGTTGCTCTATCATGAAGAGATGCACAAAATAAATACTCTTCGGCAATTCGTTTATCTTCTTCGAAACATATGCAAACTAATAATCGAACAAAGCTCTTTACATTAGTACCTTCATCCAGTTGCAATGAGAAATAATCAATGTGTTTTATTTTTTTGAATAAGTGTCTCTTTTATGGAATATGCCATTTCATGAATTCAGTGATTTATTGTATCGTTTGATAATGGAATATTATTAAGTTTATTAGCTGCTTTTTTGACGAATGATTTTAAAATGATATCTTTAGCTGTTGATAATATAAAGTTTTTTCTAATAGTGTGAGCCTGCCCGTTCTTGGCAATTCTTAGGCTTACGTAACAAGCTTCTAAAGCTTTTTCACTTGAAGTTACAAAACCTTTCATTGCTTCTTTACTATTTTTGAACTCCGATAATTGCCTCTTAAAATATTCTTCAGATTTATCCTTTAAATTGGCATGCTTAGATTCAAGATGTCTTTTAAGAAAAGATGGTTTTTATACTATTGGATAATAGTTCACTGCAAACAACACATTGAGGTCGAGGATCCATTTCATCATTCATTTTCAGTATTCTTTGTGCTAGTATATTATCCTGGATCCATCATCTGTGAATCATCACTTTTCCACTTGTCAATTTGAACCATTTTTTAATTTTGAAAATCTGGGTTTGTTTTATTATTTTTAACATATATTTAAATGCACAATATATTGCGAGTTCTTCAAAAACAAACGATGATATTCTCAAATCACATAGAAATGTAGGGACTATAAAACAATAAGATAAAAGAACTGCTGTTAAAGACAGCAAATCCACTTAAAAAATTGATTTTAATTGAAAATAGAGCACTATGAACCTGGAATAATAGTGGCGATATAAAGTGTAGATATTCTAATAAATCGATCAGCTCTGAAAGAATTGAGATACTATTATTTTTTTATATCCTATTAAATACAACATCCGTTTCTATTACTCCTTTTCAAAACATCATCATTTTGTTATGTCTAGTTAAAAATACTTTGTTTCTTTGCATACCACTGGTTAAGAATCACTGGACTATATTATGTAGATTTCAGCAAAAAGCTCTACGACTATCTGCTTGAAAAATGCCTTCATGAGAGATTTTTATAAACTTTTAGAGAAACTGTCATACATTCATGCTATGCATGAGGAAAACTCTAGAAATGCCTATAAGTCAGCTTGTTTCTCAGATTTTAAACCTAAGTTGAATAACTTGTTTGCCAGATTTTTAACCTAAGTTGAATCTTCAGTGTTTAGCAATTCTACCTCTTGCCTACTGGTGGGGATACAAACTGATTTTGGGGATACAAGCTTGCCTACTTGTGGGGATACAAACAAATTTACATGGCCATTGCTTAAAAAATTAGAATGTAAAAGCACAGTGAAAGCAATATCTGAGACTGTTCCTATTAGTAATATAATAACTGATTAAACTATTTTCCTGTTAAAAGAAACATTAAAAAATTTAAATGAAAATATTTTTGTATTATTTGCATAATTAATTAGTGACTGGACTTGGAGTTTTTAACTTGATATTTTTTAAAATTAGTTTACTATTTAAAAATTTGTTTCTCTATTTAAAAATTAATTAAATTCTCTAAAATTATTTTGGTAGCTGCGATAATAATTCTCCTGATTTTCTTCTCTGATTTCGTAATTTTTTAGTTTGGTAAATTGGCACTTCTGGATATGATACATATTTCATATACACTTTCAGCTTTGGTAACATCATATTGTCTGCAAATACTGAACTTTTATTCTGTCACAGTGAAGTAGAGCTGCAGCTTTTAGGTACAGATAATCAAATGAAACAAGTTATCTTGACATTAAATACATAAATTTACAAGCTCAGCCAAGTTTTACTTTTCAAAAATGTTCTATAATTAATTATATATAGGGGTAAGACAATGAAACTGAAATACTTGTGGAACATTCAAACTATTAAGCCACTGCATACACTTCAGTTAGAAATCTCAAATGATTTTTAATTTTACTATCAGCAGCAGAGCATGAGATGTGAAATTCAGCAGTAAAAGCACTGACTTCACACACAGAAAATTATTAGATGTATGTAAAGGCTATATAGAAGTTTGAAAGAAGACAAATCATTATAACTGATCTTGTTTATGTTTCTCTTGCCAAAACAAAAGCGCTTTTTAATATCTTGGGCCATAGTATCCAAGTATACCTAAGGAAAGCAAAGAAATTTGTCAATCAGAGTAATTAGTTAGTTACTTGATTAGGAAGTTACTTGGAAAAAAATATTAGAATATTAAAAACAATTAGAAATATAAAACAATGAAGTGATGTCAGGACAACAAAACTTGGGTAATATATACAGAATGTGTATCATTCATTTAAAATTAAAAAACATTCATTGTCTTTCTCACTTGTTCACTTGGAGAGTACCTTCAAAGGCATGCAGACTGTCCAGTGCAAAGTATGGAAGTGTAGTGATGATTTATTGGATCACAATACCATGGAAATACTTAATTGTTCTTGACAGTCACAACTTGTTAAGGACTCTATGAGCAAGTCCACCAGAAAAACTTTATGCTCCAGAAGACATACCATGTACCATAATGACATAGACTAGTTCACACTTCAAAACTAGTGACAAAATGGTTTGAAAAACATGAAAATGAGCTTGAATCTCTTCCACATAATACACATTACCCTGATCTCAACCAGGTTCATAGCGGTCTTTACAAGTGCTTAAAGGTCCTTATATTTGAAAATAAAATATAAAAACCCTTATAGGTGCTTACTTTTAATCTAAAGCACTTATTTTTTTGTTTTTAGTGCTTATGTTTTGCTTTTAGTGCTTTTTTTTTAACGAACGCACATTTTTCCCCGTACCAAAGCGGAAACTAAATAAACAACTTTTCTTCCTTATATGGAACATCAGATGGTGAATCATGCTCCCTGAAATAGCTTTTCACCTCTTTCTCTGCATTAACATAACTTTTGGCAAAGAACGTCTATGTATTCAACAATGCCTATGCAATATAGATTGATTTTGTACATAAACACATTTCTCTCTTCTATTGTTTTTTATGCATTCCTGCCTTAACCCGTCACTTTAGACCCTAGATTCCTATAAAAAAATGCACGTTTTAGTACGCTTCACCACCCCTCCAAGTTTGTCCCATGATCTGTGAAACACCCTGTATATTCTTTGCCTTTGGTGCGTGCAAGTATAGAGAGATACACGTCATTCTATTGGTCAAAGAATTGCGAAAGGGGTAGGAAATTCCGATGCATTCTGTATTCATTTGCTTCCATCCAATACTACACACGTTTGAATTTCTATCAAGATTTTAATAATTTACATTCTCGTTCCGCGTGGTCAGTTCATATTCGCGTTTATTATGATTGGCTTATATTATGAGCATATGTATGAATATTTATAATAATATATTTGCAGTAACTGAAGTATAGATAAACTTAAATGTGTGTGTTTTAACACAGATTAGTTTTCTAAGGAATAATATTCGGAATCGCATAAATAAAGTAATCGAATAGTCGATTTTTTTTTTTCTCCAATGAATTATACAGTATGGAAGTTTGGGGTTCTCTGCTTTCTCCGCAAAATCTTGAATATTGAAACCATTACAGTTCGCAGCAAAGCAAGCAACGGACTTTTTTTTATGGGGGAGTCACTTTCTATCTGGATTGAATCGGACTACAAGTTCTGCAGTCTACCAACCCAAGTGAAGAATGATTCTATTCCGGAAATTTAATGCAGTCTGTTCAAAATTAGAATGAAAAACATCCCAGATTGGTAAATCTTTTTATTAATCAATACGACTATGGCAGGGATATAGCGCGACGTGTCCTGCTCAATGATAAATATGCCACATGGGCACCCAACGGTGAAAACCGGATGAAGCAAAGAGACATTTTTCCATTATTTAAGTTATTTATTCTCCGAATACCGGCACCTGTTGAATCCGATTGCATAATATCACACGAGGAAGCATTAAGGCACACGTAAATCGCAATAACGTTTGGGATATTTCCCCGAGATAAGAGAGTTTTACTGCGCTTGCTAAGCAGATGATTTTTCAGGTCCATTGGGCTATTTTTTATATGATGCACATATCGGAATGTCAAAAGCATTATTTATCTGCAAAATCTAAAGAACGGCTACAATCTACCCCCTTCCACTTTTACCAGTTACACTCCACTACCAGGAATTTCAGATACACTGGTTATCATTAATTAAGGGAAAATCACAAAAATAGCGATAATTCCCTCAAAAATAAGCCAAACCATGTAAAATTTGAATATGTTGCCAAGTAAGAGTAGCTGAGTAAAACTGCGATATGCAAATTAGTGGCGTTGCTTTCGGAATATGTCATCTGCGAGGAGCATAAAAGTCCATGTTCGGGAGCAAGCCCACATATTTCATTGTGACAGTGACATCAGAAATCTGAGATGGAGAGCCAGTGCGAGACTAGAGGCAGGACAAAGTCAAACAGAAGTGGCCAGATGGCTAAATGTGAGTCCTTCTGTGGTTCATAGACTTTGGAGGCAATTTCAAACCACAGATTCGGCATCTAGGAGGTTCAGCCAAGGACAGCCAACTACAACGAGTGCCGATGATTGATATTTGACATTATGTGCATGCAGGAATAGAACTGCTACTCTGACTCTTCTTAGATCCTCCTTTGCTGCAGCTACCGGAAGTTTCGTGTCAACGTCAACCTTGTGTAGAAGGCTTCACGAAAGTGGTCTGTATGCGAGGCGACCAACCATTTGTGTGCCGCTCACGTCACGCCATAGGACGGACCGTTTTCAGTGGGCACAACAACATGTCCACTGGACGCCTGATCAATGGAGGACGGTTCTCTTTACGGATGAGTCCAGGTTTAGTCTAGAAAGTAATTGTAGGCGTTATTTGATATGGAAAGAACCTAGAACCCATCCTTCAACATCCATGAAAGAGATGCATACGGAAGGAGCAGTATCTGTTTTTGAGGTGGCATCTCTTTGGGTGGATGTACACACCTCCATGTCTTTCCAAGGTGAACTGTGAATGATCAGATTTATAGAGATGACATCCTTGATGTTTATGTGCGCCCATATGCCGGGGCAATAAGTGATGCTTTCCTGTTACAGGACGACAACGCAAGACCACACAGGGCTCGCATCGTAGATGATTATCTTCAACAGGAAACAATTGTGCACATGGAGTGGCCAGCTCGATCCCCGGACTTGAATCCTATCGAGCACGTTTGGGATGCTTTAGGGCTAGCTGCTCTCAATCTGCCCCCCCTCAGACCCTTGTCGCGCTTGCAACTGCTTTGCAAGAGCAATGGCTCTCGCTTTATATGGAACTGATAGACCGCATAATTGAAAGCATCACACATCGCTGTATTGCTTCTAGAGGCGATCATATTCCATATTGAAGGTTTTTTTTCCTATAGCAAACTGACACCTTCGATTTGTTCATTTTATACATATGCTAATTTGTATACTACCATATTTGTTTGGTAATTTCTTTTTATGTTATTTGATACCTTACTATGTGTTGTATATTGTGGGTAAGTTTTATTAAATTCTACATGTAACTTTTTCAGTAATCGTGATTTTTCCTTAATTTATGATAACCAGTGTATTTGGCAATTTCCGAGTATGCCGGTTAGTTAAGCTTTTACTGTGAAAGGATGACTGCATGAAGCAATTTGCCGTCTTCTGATTTCATATAATAAATATGAGTTATTATTATTTATTTTCTCTATTTTGAACTGGAATTTCATCATTAAATCTTGTATTATAATTTAGTTCTGCATAGTTTTTTTTCCCTCTCATTGTAAACTAGTTCTGTAAATTGAACTGTTATTTAAAATTTAAGAAAAAGAATATAACTGTTTTCCATGGATGAGTAATGCTCATTCTCTCTTAATAAATACTGAATTTCTCATATTTTAAATTACAAGTCTAATTTTTTTTTTTAAGGTTATGCAGTATAATGTAATTAAACAGGTGCTTATTTTTTTTTTTTTTTCTTAAAATGTGCTTGAAAAGTGCTTATAGGTGCTTATTTTTTTAACTAAAATAAGGCTACGAACCCTGTCAACACCCTTGATTCTATCTGGAGTATGCTAAAGGAACTGAAAACATTTTCCTCCTCCTCTATTATGAAGTAAAATAGGTTTTTTTTTTTTTTTTTTTTTTTTTTTTTTGCAAGAGGGGTGTCTGAAAAGACCTGTATTGGTCATTTTTAATATGAATTACTGCAGTATTGGCTATAAAAGAGGATCTACATTGTATTAATAGAATATTACACTCCAAAATCATAGTTTCAGTTTCATAGTCCAATCCCAGTAAATGACCACATAATTTATAATGCATTTATCCCTTTGTTGCATCATGTCCACTCTAGTAGACAAAAGTTTAAATTTGTTTATTCTTCTGTAAATACCTTAACAGATTCCATTCCTGTGTTTATTCAATCTATATTAGAACTTTCAACTGTCGATCATAGATGGCTGTATAGCATCACTAAGTAAAGCACTGCTATTTGGAAAATGGCTGCTACTTCTGTTTCCAAGTTAGTACAATTTCTCATAGTAAACATTATATAATATTGCTTACATTTTCTTATACTGCCATTTTTTATTCGTAATTAGTAATTTTAGACATTTTATTTTAAATTTCAGTTTGAGAAAATTGTGGAGTGAGTAGATAAAGATCTACCAAAAAGAGTGAATTGAAACCCAAATCTACTGCTTATCAAGCCAAAACACCACTGGAAATGTTTATGTTTGGCAAGGAATTTCTAGAACATTTGCCATTTGAATCCAATAGATTCAGGTTGCAAAATCGTAGGAAAATGAATTCAGTCACAATCGACGAAATGAAGGTATTTTTTGGGATTTGTATGTACATGTCAGTTGTAGATTTACCATTTGGAAGATGGTAATGATCACTGCAAACAAGGCAGGAAATGATTTCAAATGCAATGACCGTAAATTGTTGGGAAGAGATTTGTATGCATGTACGTATATGCATGCTGTCTACTGTAGTGAACAAACTGTATCAATTATTTAAAACGAAATTTGAATGAAATAATTTTTTTATTATTACCTATACAAACATTTTCGTTTAACTTCTCTAGATTATTTATATGCACAAAGGGTTAAGGAGTGTTGGAACACAAAAATCTTCAAAAAATGGTTATTTCGGATTTTTGCATTTTCAAATTCTCTACACTTTTATCTTTCTAAAAATACCATTCTTTAATCTCTATGAAAATTAGAACTGTAAAAAATGTAGTTTTAATTTTGTCATCGAATGCTTTGATAAATTAGGATTTTTACATGAAAAAAACACGTTTTTCTCCAAACGTATACTCGATGTACCTTTTCTCAGGAACTACTGCTCACAGATATCTAAAATTTTTATGGTTTATTTATTAGGTTCCTAATATGTACTGAAATTAGCTTTCTGTGATATACTAATAAAAAAAATTTTTTTTTTTAATTTTTTGTGTGAGAAAAATGCTAAATTTTACAATGCCTAACAAAATATTCTGTAAATTACTCTTAAATTCAAAATGTTTTAAAAGCTCATTTCAGTATAATCAGATAGGTATACTTTAATTACACAAAAAAATTCAAGCGTATATCTACAGCAGATTTTGAGAAAAGGTACGTCAAAAATGGCAAATTTAGCATTGTCGTTATAGGGGTTCCTGATACCCATTAATCTTTATTATGGCAATGCATATTATGTGTGACTCTTTTAGATATTACTACTTACTTTTATCTCTCTTCCTTCCTTAATATTCAATATTTATTTATAGATTATCTGCTCCTTTAAACTATATTTAGCTCTCTCAATTTTTCAAATTATTTTTCGGTTCTTTAAAAGCACTGCTACTAGGGTAATAATTGGTGTTTAATTCTTGTAATCAGCCTCAAGCATCAGCACAGAATTTAATTTTATGATTTTTAGAATGTTTACTGATGAAATATATGATTTCACAGCTGTCGAATAATTATTCACATTTTAAATTTGTTTAAAAGGCATTGATTCTCCGGCGAAATCATATATAAAAGATTACTGAAACAAAATTTTGTTATAATAAATACATATAAGAGATGAAGTTGTGCTAATGAAAATAAGAAAGCTTACTTTAAATTAATAACATCTGCAATGGTGGATTTAATTTGCAGCAAAATTAACTTTTAAAATAGCTATATTGTAAAGTTATAACAAAACATTTTTGTAAAAGCAAACATTCTGTAAAATAATTTGAATACCGCTTCCTGATGCAATGAAGATATAAGCTAAGTTTTCACCAATAGCATATTACTATGGAGTGAAAGATAGCATTAATGGTGTTGTATTAAAATAATCTCAGAACCTGTAGAGAGTAGACTTCAGATTTTCATCAGTCCTTCATAGGTTTTTCATGTGTCTTTCTTCTAAGATAGGAGAGAAAAAGATCGAGTTTAAAATGTAATACACTGAAAAACTATATACCGTTTACGTATATTACCCATTTAGAATTAATGATTAAATTACAAAAAATTCAAACAACAATAAAATAGGAACAATAGGAAAAAGATTACCTACCTTTTTCACCCCCCTCATCTTCAGAAATTTCTGATTTACAGTATTGACATTATGCAAATAAAAAGAATATTTTTGAAATATTAACTGTAATTTATTGCTTCGAAATGTAGAATTCTGCCGAGTCCATGCCTGCTTTTTTAACTCACGACCATTCTGGCTCAAGCAATAATGCAAAGATATCAAATCACAAACTCTATAAATCATTTCATTTCATGTTTGTGCACATTCTCATTTAATGGTTGCCCTCAGTTAATGTGAACTGTGAGTTTCTCAGTAAGTGTAATTGTGATGATTAATTAAGCTATAAAGCTGATTTCTCCTAACAATCTTTTTTGAAACTATGCATTCTCTGAAATTCTACTAAGAACATTTCGACAAAACTGCACTTTCCAGTTTGAATCAACTTCACCAAGAGCATGGATTATTCTTTTTTTCAATGATAGTCTTTCAAAATATGATGAACCCTTGATTTTGAACTTCTAGCTCATGACCAGCTTTACTACAGAGGATTTCTTCAATTCTGGTGATATGTTTTCATTAACCTTCTAAACTTATCAATGTTTTCTGGAACAAAACAATTTCATACTTAGCTCTTCTCTTATTAGAGCAATGTTAAGCTATATGAGTGATTTGAAAACCCTCTCTTAAACTATCTCAGCACTTCAACTACATTTTCAAATTTCCATTAGCACACTATTTGTTTGTTATTGTTCAATACATAGTTTGCTTCTGTCCTTTATTTCAAATTAGATAAACTTGAAAGGAATGAAAATTGAATGAGTTATTAGCTGTTAAAGAAAGTGCAAACATTATTTTTTGGGCAGCTTAATTAATTAGCAGGAATAAATTAATTATAATTTAAAATAAGAGAAAAAACTATTTTTTATAACAAGTAGACAGTTAGTATGTTTGTTTTCATAGGATAACAATACAGCAGAATTTTCTGTGAGAGAACTTTAGGGGAAGAAAATATATTTTACAGGAAAAAAGAAGTTGCTACACAGTTTAATGTTAAAATATGTATAATATTGATAGATATATTTAGTTTTATAAAATGTGTACAAAGGAGTCTATGCAAAGTGGAAATCTTCTACAATGGGAATGAAAAATTGTTTTACAAAGTTCACTAAAATTCAGTTTTATATTGAAAGATATTTATCTACAAAAGGAAGTCCAATTAATGTACTGTCAAATTTTAAATATTTATAAAATGCAAAATAAATATGAAAAATCATGGGAAATAAGAATTGCTGTATACCTGAATGCTTTTTTTGAAGTAGGAATTAAAATAGAAGTTTCCAAAGAGCACTATGAAAGAAAACGAATAAGCTACTAAGGCATATTGCATCCATTTTGTGAATTGGCAGTTGTATAATATTGCTTTTATACCCATCACCATAGCTGAAACAAACTGAACCTGGAAATATAGGTAATTAAAGAGATTTTCAGAAACATTAACGAGAACAGATAATACAAATATACATATACACATATATTATATAATGTGGCAGTTTTATGATATGTTGGCTTTTTAAAGAAAATAATGAAATTCACAGCTAAAATTTAATATATTTTTGAAAGTCTGTTTTCTGCATAGAACATACTTAATGAATTATATGCCACAATGTGTAAAGTCAGTGTTATTTAAATTAACTCTTGTGTTTCTCAAAACAGTACGACGAAAACTCAAGAGACATCAATCAGTATGACATGTATTTAAGAAAAGGGGGAAAAAAGCTGATATAAGATATGTAATACAAACCAACTGCAGAATAGTGAGATACTTTTTCCACCACAGGTAACGTTGTATGGCAGGACCAATAGCAGTCAATGCATAATATAAATACATCACTACATGGACGAAAGAGTTGACCATAGCTCCTGGCAAGGCTAGAATATCACAGTAATAAACATATAATTTTGAAATATAATAGTATCTTGATGTTTGTCATTAAAAAGTATAAGGAATTCATACCTGATCCTCCAGGAACCCACTTCACTCCAATCCACCATAGTCCAAACATTGTGGAATGATGGTATATATGAAGAAATGTAAGTTGATTATTTTTCTTCCGGAGAATAAAAAATAAAGTGTCGCAGAATTCCAGTAGCTTTGAGAAGTAATACCACCATAACGCTTTAGCAATCTGTTATACATGAAACAATTTATTCTACAATGATCTGATAAAATATAATTTCACCTTTTCTATATCAATTAAAATAACTGTTAAGAGACAACAAATAGGTTATTGCATATTAATACATAACAGTGATTTCCTTAGGCAATAATTTACTAATAAATGTTTGCCTTTTTGTTGTGAGCATATATAATAGTACCCTTGTTCAATTAATAGTGCATATAATTTTGCTTGCTTTGACATCTGAACATAATTGTCCTTCGTTTGTTAATTTTTTACTTTTTTCCCACATCACTTTTTTAATTATAAATCTCTGAATCTTCAAAAGTAATAAAATAGAATGCTTTTTATTTAGGAACATATTATCAAAAATTATGAACATGCTAATTCCTATCAAATTTTAAGTTAAATTACATATCACCAAAGAATGTTGTAGAAGTGATAAATGCAGACAAATATAATAATGAGAGTATGAAATTGGTTTGATGGAAGCTGGGGAATATTTATTTACAATTAATGCAAGGAATTAACATCAATTAGATTTCAGTAAGGACTGGATATAATGAATAAAAATATGACACATTGGATTATGTATTTATTATTTCCATTGAAAAAATTCTGTGGTTATTTGATGGTAAATTCAAATGAAGCAGTATAGAAATACAAGAAACTTTCACTGAATCACATAAGCACCATTTTATTCTATGACTTTTTGCCATCTCTGAGGCAACTGGAAAATCCCTTTTTAAACAAGTTATTAGATTTATTTGTTAAGAAGTTATCGACGTGCTGTTTGACTATCTCCAAAGAATTGAACTCGGGGTCATTCAGAGAATTATGAAGTGACTTAAAGATAATAAAATTTCAGAGAGCAATGTCTAGTGTATATGGGGGGGGGGTTGATAAAAAACATTTCAACCATATCTCATTAAGTTTTTTCCTGACATTCATAAAAAATGTGAGGCTGAATACTGTCTTGATGGAAGACACCTTAAAGATTAATCAGTTCTGGGCACTTTGCTTCAATTTCTGCTCTTAAAATTGCCATCTGGAAAAAGCATTTTTTCCTAATTTATTATCTGATTCGTGACAACAATTTATAGTACACAATTCCTTTATTCTCTCACCATACATAAAGCATTACTTTTTTCGGATGCAACATCAATCTCAATATTCCTAAAGGAGGTCCTTTTTTGCCTTACCCCTTGATTTTTTTTCTTGTAGCATTATTATATACTATCCACTTCTCCTTTCCGGTATTGAGCCATTTAAAAAAAAGGAGCTCCTTCACAGAATCAGAAGTCAAACAAGCACATTCACTCTAGCAGCTTAAACACAAAATCTTCTTCAAATGATCATGTACTACATTGTGTGGAATATTTATTCTGTGCTATAATTCCTGAATCATATAACTTAAAATTTTAGTGATAGCTTCTTTTAATAAGTCCTGGTTTACAAAGAACGGCCACCAAAGCAGGCATAATCTTCAAGGCTGAAATCTCCACGTTTAAATTTACCAAACCATCTTAGAACAAAATTATCAGAAACAGCATTTTTCTATATATAGCACAAATTTTTAAAAGCAGTCTGACTAGCACTTTTTTCTTCTTTTTTCAAATAAAAAAGTATAATATACAAAAATGAACTTTTGGTACTGCACTGAAAGAAAATTATGTCCAAACACATGCTAGAATTATGCAACATGAGCAGAAAAGACCATATTTAAACATTCGCTTTGATTAAAATCAGCACCATATCAGGAGTAACAAAAGAATTAGGAAAAAATGCTTTGATTTGAAAAACTGCAGAACTTTTTGGATGACCCAATACTTGTAAAAAAGGTGTGCATTTTCAGCTATGAGAAAGGAGAAATAAATAAAATTGGATACTCCACTGAAATTAACAAAAGTTAAAGGAAAAATAGTTAAACTACGACAAATTACTCTAAACTGCCAATGGAAATCATCAGTCTTATTTTATATGTAAGTACTAACAAAATGAAGAAAAACAACATTTTAGAAATTAATATCTAAATTCTTTGGATAAAATTAAATAATAGATAGAAATAATTACATAAAATTATTACAAATAATTTATTAAATAAACTCAAAATAATACTAAAAAGTTATAGAACAAAAATTTGCATCATCATAATTTAAAGCATTTTTGATCTCGCATTCCATAAAACATACATATTAGTTATTTTAAAACATAGAATCAAATCTAAGTAAAGCCTGACATCATTTTATCTCAGTGCATGTCCACAATGTGTTGAAAGTGAAATAGGCATTAAACAAACCCATAAGTATTGTTCAACAACTGCATAATTTCTGATTTTAATAGTACCAACAAGAGAAGGTCATTTGAGGAAGGCTAATGAGGCTAGGAGAAACTTTTTCGAGCTTCTCCTTCTCCTATCACTGAAGGTTTTCTAGATGAAACATGTCTTGCTGGAAACAACATGGGACATTTTACAATCATGATGAAAATGTTTCACTTGAGCTTGTGTCCTTTTCCCCAGCCAATCAGATGACCTAAATCTAGATTTCTGAGAAATATTTCTTACAAAACATTGTTTAGGGGAGCTTGTAAATGTGATACTGAAGCAGTAGGACATGGAGGTCTGGCTGCTTTGACAAGACATAATCAAAAATTCTTTATCGCTCCTTTTCTCCTGTTTAATTGAGAGTCTAATAATAAGAAGTCTCATCATAATTCCTCTCAGCACAGTCACTTCAATCCCAATCATTGTCAACCCTGCTTACACTTCAGCTACAGCATGTGCAAGAAAAATTTTTCAGGGTAATAGCTTAATTATCTCAGTGATTTTCTGATTCATTTTGTTCTACACCTTTTTCTGTACTTTTTAGAGGTTTTGCCTGTTTTTCTAATGAAGTATAAAGACCCTTTTCTTCTTCAATCCTGTTAATTGTTAAGACCCACACTATCACTTTCAGAGACTGTCTTGAAATAAGAAAATTCATTCATGCCTGCAGTACTCTTCATCATTCTACAGGTACAATCTTTAAAGTGATACTTGACCCAGACCACAAAACTACAATTACCATGTTTTTTAATTTTCAAGGAATAAATTAATATTCAGGACTTTTCAAAATCATCAGAAGTTCAGTGACAAATACTAAGCAGTTCAGTGGTTTTCTTACATAATCCAGAGAAAAACTAAGTTATTTCAAATATCAGAAATCACCTTATTTGATGGAAATAATGAGAAACTGCAAGCAACATAAAAATTTAAGAAATTTAAGAAACAGGGAAAGTCATGAGAAACATACTATAAATCAAGTCGATGAAAGTACAGCTTCTCACCTATGTTGTTGTTATGTCATGAAAGAGTTGGTACCTCTGCAAATTTTAATAAAGCTCATTAGTGAAAAACAGAATTTATATTCTCAAATCCAACAAAGGTCTAATACCTATAGTGCTGCCATTAGTATTTTCTGCTTTAGGTTAATATAGGCGAAGATATTACTTGTCTTATGGATGTTAAATTAAAAATGCAAATTATTAGCAGCGATAAGAAAAAATATCAAAACTTGTTGGAAATTCTTTCTATTTTTGAATATTCAATTCAAAAAATTTAAGCAGTTCAGTGTGAGTTGTTTAACAAAATAATAGTTTGAAAATTAGAGGTTTTATTTTTTTTATCTTGTATGGATTGAAAAATATTGCATGAAAGAATGTTAAGACGATTAGAAAATACTGCATGAAAGAGCAATAACATATTGAAAAACATTGTGTGAGACAGTGATAAACATTTCCAAAAATTACAACATAATGATTTTATAGATTATCAGAATTTCATAATTATAATAAATCAGAACTGAGCAAGAATGATCCAAAAAAAGCTCAGTTTCAGAGAATGCTATAAAATTTATAATATGTTACAGTACAAAAAACTCATTTACCCGAACTTCATATGCGTTATCAGAGTAGTCAACCAGCTGGCAAGACCAGTTGTAATTTCTATGTAATGCACAGATTAATAGCTGTAAAATTAGAAAATATAAGGTTGTAAGTTTGAGAAAAATGCACGAATGCCTAATAAAAGGCCAAATATTCTCATATATATTTAATGCAACTTAAAAACAAAAGGCTTTAAATAAATGGAATTAATAACAAAAATCTATTCTGAACTTAAAAGAAATTGTTTATTATTTTAATTTAAACAAAAAATAATTTTAATAACAAACGTATATTTAAACAATAAAACTGAAAAAAGTTAAATTACTTGCTTTTGAAAAAGAAACCAACCAAGCCATAAGAAAAATACTGGAGAATTTATTCTTATTCCCAACTACCATGCAACTACAAAACAAGGAATAAGTGGAAACTAACTATGGAAGCAGTGCGAGAGGATTCAGGAGACATACCTCCACTGCTATATATAAATTGAGAAGCATCATAAAGAAGTTGTAAAATACAAGCACCCAACGCAATTGAAAAGGTTCCCTAGATTTCATTATCTGTGGTCCATAGTGAACAGTGCTAAGATAGAGGAGGATTAAAGCCACAGTAGGCATAGGTGATTGCATAAGAGGCCAACCAGCAACACGCTTATCTAGGGTGAGAAGGTGTTAGCATTCAGGTTAACAGGAATCAAGAGAGGATATATATATATTATAGTACTTCCCAAACATTATTTTGATTTCATAACTATAGAAACTCAATTTAAGATGATCAAATTTCTATCATAATATCTTAACACATATATAAATATCATATTTCATACATATATATAATTTATTTTTCATACGTAATATTTGTTTATTAATGAATTTCAACACAAATAAATAAAAATTCTTAGAAAAATGTTTTCCTTGATTAATATCATCTGATTTTGGCAAAGAATATGAATCTGTAGATTAAAAATAACATGGTAGAAACTAATATTTCTGCAGCGCAACCAACAGTTACTAATACACATCTATTTTCACTGAATGCTGCAAGAGTTTTTGTAATTGTTGCATTTAATTCAAGATTAAAGACAATAATTATAATTCAGAAAAAATAAAGACAATAATGAAGAATTCAGAAATGACCCTGTAAAACTGAAATTAACATATGGATATCAAAAAAATGAATTCCACGGGTTTTTAAATATATGACATTATGGCTTAAAATGGAACTTGATTAAACTAGGGATAATTAAAACAAGGTTTATACACACTTAAAACTACAATAAATTGCAGAGCTCAAGATAACTCTTATGGTTGTTATTTTGTCAGCATGTGACATAATGTTTTTATATATAATACATATCATAGATCACTTTACAGCCATAAATTAATATACAATTTTATTCTAAGCTTTAATTAATGACAGTCATCAATCACAACAAAAATATTTAATTTCTTTTTTACAAGGCTTGATGTACAGCATTGTTGTTAGATTAAATAAACAGTCAATACATCTGTAAAGATCTTTAATTGTTGAAGTTTTTAAAACAACTCACTCGGTTACAAATTTTTACAGCATGTATCGATGCACGTACAATGGTACCCTGCTTTTTTAATTTAAATTTTTTGTTGCCATCCCAAAGTGTACAACTTCTTTTATAAACTTTATAACTTTTTAGTAGTCTTCTTTTATAATTTTTCATTGGTCTAGAAATGATGTTACAGTAACAGTCTGATTTTGAAAAAACACTACACAGATGGATGATAGGAAAATCAAAGTATTATATACTTCCATACAGTAGGGGGAAAAAATTCATTTACTTGGAATGTTAAAGGATACATGTCTATTCTAATAAATTTTTCCCTCAGAATTTCAAAACTGCATCCATGTAACAGTATTGAACTTCTGTTATTCTTTTCTCCTATGGATTTTTATATTTCCATGAAAAGCTGAATATGTGAACATTTCTGTGAGAAGAATAAAGAAAAACATATCCTTCTCATTGTTCCTGTTGTGTTCATTAACATATCTACACAACAAGACTATCTTTCTCATCTTGAGCTATTTCATGCTACACACAGATATGTAATAATTTTAGGAAACTAAGTTAATAAGTATTTTTATGATAAAATATTTGTTACTTATAACAATATAATATTTATAATGAAGGATTCCAATCTGAAAGTTCTGATAAACAAACAAATAATTATATTTTGAAATAACCTTTGAGAAACTACTTTATATCTATTTCAATAATCTTGAATTAATAACATTGCTTCTCTGAAACATAAACAACGGCATGGAGAGCAAATTATTTTAGTGTGGATTTATATTAAAAATGTTTTTGGTACTTTCTGATTACCCATACCTCTTCCCTTCCCAAGAAAAGGGGCAATGCAAATGATGAAGCAAGAACCAAGTGACCAAAACTAACAAGCCAAGAAGTCACTAAAATGTATTTTTGTTGCAACCTAGTAGTCTGTGTACATGCAGCAGATGAAACAAATTTCCACCTTCGAATTTGATGATTATTAGTGTTTGTTTCTGTAGCATATTTTTTCCCTTGTAAAAAATCATAATGGAATTATTTGAGTTTGCTGGCCGATGAAAAAGAAAGTGTTCCCTTTCTTCAGACACATGGCATTTTGTCCAGCAATAGAGAATGTAAAATTTCACATTCTATGAAAATGTACTTCCATCAAATTTTACATATCAAAATTTGTGCACCACTGCTGAATTTGCCTAATTTTCTGGCATTTTTTGCCATTGTAATGTATATGGGAAATCAACAGCATTCACAATTTCAAATTTGTGCAAAATCTCTGATATTTTTTTAAGAAAAAAAAAAAAAAAGAGATTGCCATGTACATGTAAAGAACAACACAAAAATAATTAAATACAGATTTCTTCAGGAATTTTTTCCCCCAATTTTATTGATTCATTGCTCTTTTATTCTTAGTGTTATGTCAAATGGAATATTGTGTTCTTTTATTCTTAGTGGAATACAATACTTTTTCTATGCTTTTACAATTGTAATCTGCTTATGATTTTGTATTTGATTTCCAATAAAGTTGCTATTTTATATTCTATTATTTGTTTATTTAAAAAATTTTCAAAATAAATAAAAAAGAAAGAACACAAAGAAATTAACAACCATGAATTAATTAAACTGAATAAAACAGAGTGGAAAGTTCATTATCTTTAGAAGGTTTTACATTTTTATAACTAAATTTATTATTTCTTTGCAACTCTTTCTATATGCCAGATTAAGTCAATAAAACTAAGAATTGGCATTCAAATAAAAAAACAATGAATCTATAAAATTAATAAAAATAATTTAAATTTCTGCTGGTTATAAATTAACTGTTATCTTTTTCTTTTTTATTTTTATACTATATAATCCAGCTATGTAGCCTATCTAAACAGCTGCAGAAAATGATATTTCTTAACTAAAATAAAAAATTTGGGAAGCACTATTATATGAGGTAAAGATTCACACAAACTCAGGAGAGTATAAAAGAAATAGAAGTTAACATGCAAAATATGAAATTCTTTACTTTTGACACTACAGGTTCAAGGTTATTGTTAGTAATCATGATTACTGCCATTTGCTACTTTCAGAATATATATATATATTGTTTCATAAGAATAAATTGAATTTAATTAAATAAATTTAAATACAAAATTAATTAAATAATTCTTTGTGCCATTGCTGCAAGGAATGAAATTTAAATTTAAACAAATTAAATTTAAATTTTAACAAACACGTATAAAAGTAAAAAAGCAAATTTAAATCCAAAAAAAATTTTAAAAAGTGTAAACATATAAAAGATTTAATTCTAAAACTAATCTACAATATCATTTAAATTCAGAAGCATAAGCAACTCAAGTGCAAAACCAATCCATGAAAATAAATTCACTAGTTTAGCAAATTAAAATTAATCCATACACTTTTTTTTTAAAAAAAATGCATAAGTGAATGACTGTTGAGCAGGCAGGAGACAGACTTATCAAGGGGAAGTTGCCTCCAAACCTAACTCTCCAATCATTCAATTTGTGTTTCGTCATTCATGCAGGCAAGTGTAAAAGTCAAAACCAAAAGTAAAAGGTGAAGAATATCCAAAAAGAAATACCAATAAAGTGGTACCCTTAGAAATTAGCATTTAAGAATTAAAGTTTTAAAAGGAAAATACTAATGAAGTCTTTTGAGAAACAAGCAAGTAAAGTCAAGTATTAGTACTAGTAGTATTAGTACTTCATTAGTATTTTCCTTTTAAAACTTTAATTCTTAAATGCTAATTTCTAAAGGTACCACTTTATTGGCATTTCTTTTAGGACATTCTTCACCTTTTACTTTTGGTTTTGACTTTTACCCTTGCCTGCATGAATGACGAAACACAAATTGAATGATTGGAGAGTTAGGTTTGAAGGCAACTTCCCCTTGATAAGTCTATCTCCTGCCTGCTCAACAGTCATTCACTTATGCATTTTTTAAAAAAAAATTGTATGGATTAATTTTAATTTGCTAAATTAGTGAATTTATTTTCATGGATTGGTTTTGCACTTGATTTGCTTACGCTTCTGAATTTAAATGATAGTGTAGATTAGTTCGAGAATTAAATCTTTTATATGTTTACACATTTTTTTAAATATTGTGTAAACATATAAAAGATTTAATTTAAATTTTTTTAAATATATATATATTAAAAATTTTTTTTGGCTTTAAATTTGCTTTTTTTAATTTTGGCTTAAAATTTGCTTTTTTACTTTTATATGTGTTTGTTAAAATTTAAATTTAATTTGTTTAAAGATATACAGTCAAAAGTCGTTAATCCGGACTCGTCGGGACTTCGGCGATTCCGGATTATCGATTTTTCCGGATTATAGATCATCAGTTTAAATCTCGTAAGATAGCATGCAGAAATTCTAAAATAAAAAATATGAAACCGTAATTTATGAAATAGAGAACAATTATGATCTAAAGGGTATCAAAATTTGCAAAAAGAAAAAGCTTAATATTTATTTGTTTACTTTATTAAACATTTCTTTCAATGTAAGTTGTTTATAAGTTTTGCTTCGTTTCATGTGA